ATTTTTATTTTTTTCTACAAATCCAAATTATTTGAAATTTGGAGCGTGTGTACATCTCAGTGAAGCGTACTTAATAAAAATATGAACAATATAATTCGCAGAATATAAATTAACCAAAATACCCCTGAAAATTTATTGGGGTAGTTTGGTATATTTATATTTTACGAATTATTTTTTTCATATTTTTATTAGGTGCACCTCATTAAGATGTACACATGCTCCAAATTTCAGATCATTCTAATTAGTAAAAACAAAATGAAAATTGAAACACTACCAGGCAACTGTGACCGTGTGATGAAGTTTGGATGGTGATGAGGGTAGGCGAAATCATTGTTCATTTTCGTCTATAGGCGTTTTGTAGTATCTTCCTATATAAATTATAGACAATATATACTAACTATACATGTATTGTGTATACTAATTAGATTATCTAAATTGTAATGTGTACATAATATTGTAGCTAATGTATCAATAATATAATGATAATAGATTTTTAATAATATAATAAAGAGCAAGCTTTCTATGCTTTCCCTACACCATAAAACTTATATACAGTCCCTATTAATAATTTTGACGGTAAACTATCTTGAAATTAAGATGATTGATTAGAGAGCTTTGGGACATCAAACAACCTTTTTGTAGTGAGTTTTGAAGGTGTGCCTTATCTCTATAGTATAAGGTTCACCCCTTGCATAAACGTTTTCTTTTGTTAATAAGCTGGGAGACAAAAAGGACAACTGACATAGTCGTATGTATGAATTTTAACATCCACTCTTAACCTAACCTAACTGATTTTCAGGAATCTCTCTCTCTCTCTCACTAGTTAATAAACAGATTTTCAGGAATGTAAGTATAGATAATTATAAACTTGTCTATCTATCTATATATGTGGGCTTCTAAATATCTCTAATTTCCATAATTGAAATCTTTTTACAAATTTGAAAAATCTGACACCTACATTCACTCTCTCTGCACACTTAGTTTTTCTTTACTATTAATACTGACCATCACTTGTCTCCAATTTGGGAAAGAGATGAACTCTTGGCATGCTAACGTTGTTTTAGACATCAATTGATTTCATAATTATTCCCCATAATTTTTAGAGAAAGAGAGAGAAACCACGAGATTCTCTGCATTTTTCTAGAGATAGAGAGAAAGTAAGAGACTGGATTCATTTTCTTTTAGAAAGAGGGAAACCAAATTATTCTTTCAGTTTTTAGAGATAGAGAGAGAAACTAAGAGACTAGATTCATTGTCTTTAGAAAGAGAGAGAGACCCGTGGTTCACGAATGCTGAAGCGGGATGTTTCGTAACTGAAAGGCATGCGGCTCCTATTAAGAGAAACTTTATCCATGCACCATTAAAGCAATGAAAACTTTATCCATGCACAATTAAAGCCATGAAAATTTGGATTTTGAGGATTAAACCAAGAAGGGATCTAGCTGATACATTTGATGTGCACTTAAATTTCAACATTATTTCATATCATGAACTATCCAAGATGTTCAAATTTTAACAGCAATTTTGCCAAAATGCCCATGAAATCATTTGTGTCCTGAGACTAAAATGACGAACTTACCGACCCTACCGGCCAATATGTAATATCATCGAGTAAAGTTTCTACTAATTATAGTTTGGATCAACTAATATGGTAAGGAGGGCAGGCATAATCTTGAAAGCATACGTGCCACAACTTTGGAGACAAGAGGGTGAATAATGAAATTACTTCCAATGATTCTATATATACAAAATGAATTTTGAGCAATGGAGAAAAGTTGGCCTTGTAAAGATTTTTCGATCTCTTTTTTTTTTTCAGAATAAATGGATGGCCATAAGGGGAATTTAATAAATATGTATGACTTATTCATATGTGAAAGATATAAAAGGACAAGAGAAAGGAAATCTTTCTAAAAATAAAAATTAAATGTAGCCGTAGGATGATGGGCAAATTAGTTATTTTACTAATAACTATTGCCCTATAAAAAACCTCATACCATGCCCATTTTCTTCACACTCATGTTTTTGTTCGCGAAAGTCTTGTTGTTTGCCATTGCTCTGTTACTTGCATTGCTAGATAAACATGGGAATGGCAATGAGAGAGCAGGTCGTTATCATCGTAGGGGCCGGGCCTTCGGGTCTGGCAACTTCTGCATGTTTGAAAAACCTCCGTATCCCAAATGTAGTCATCGAGAGGGATGACTGCTCTGCTTCTCTATGGAAGAAACGTTGCTATGATCGCCTTAATCTCCACCTCGGCAAAGAATTTTGCGAGCTCCCTCATTTTCCTTTCCCGCCCGACGCACCCACTTTCATATCAAAAATAGATTTTATTAAATATATAGATGATTATTCTGCCCGCTTCGAGGTAAAGCCATTGTTTTCGAGGGAGGTGACTGATGCAACCTACGATAGGGAGGTACAAAGGTGGATCGTGCATGTGAACAACACATGCACCAACAATGTTGAGTGTTATAGTGGGAGATTCTTAGTAGTTGCTACTGGGGAGAATAGTGAGGGCATTGTACCTGAAATTCCTGGACTACCTGAGTTTGAGGGGGAGGTATTGCACTCATCACTATTCAAGTCAGGGAAGGATTACAGTGGTAAAAATGTGCTTGTGGTTAGGTGCGGTAACTCAGGCATGGAGATTGCTTTGGATCTCTCTAATCACGGTGCCGAGACTTCGATCGTCGTGAGAAACTCGGTATGTGGATTCCATTGATTTCAATCTACTTATCAATCCTAAATTTCTTTGTTTTTTTTATTTATCAGGGAAGGATTACAGTGGTAAAAAATTTTACTTTGGTCTTTTTATGCTCATGATCATCTTAACTTAGATCATAAATCTCTAAAATCTATTTTTAAGATGGTCAAAAGCTCCACAGGGAAAAATATATTCATTCTTGATCAAAGACTCCATTACTCGAATTTATCCAAATACTCAATCTCATATATATAATGTGCATGGCCTTAATTATGTATTGTCGTGCCTTTTCCTTATGTTATCTCATGGTATTTAGAGAAATGTGGGCACTTATTGTATAAATGATTCATGTATGTTATGGTGGTGCAGATCCATGTGATGAACAAGGAATTGATTCACATGGGGATGCGTTTGTTGAGGTACTTTCCAATGGCGTTGGTGGATAGGCTCATGGTTTTTTGCAGCATATGGTTGTATGGAGATACAAGCAAGTTTGGCATAAGAAGACCAGAGGAAGGCCCATTTCTTCTAAAGTGCAAGACCGGCAGGAGCCCCATCCTTGATCTAGGAACAATTAAGAAAATTAAAACTGGGGATATAAAGGTCACTCTCTCATGTAATTTAAAGTTAGCATATGAATTGGTGAGAATGATATGGGGCTTTGGTGGTAGTACCGTTGTGCCCCATGATGAAATATAGTGGCCCAAATCCTCTCTAACTTATCAGTTTTTTAGCATACGAATTGATGTCTTCGTTTTATCTTCCTTATTAATTAGGAATATGTCTCTCTCATAAAGTTAACATATGAATTGGTGCCGGGTTTTCGTCTTCCGCACGAATTTGATATATAGTTTTAGTGTATGCCTTATAACTTATCTCTCTCTCTTTCTCTCTTAAATAGGTCATGAACGCCATTGCATACATAAGAGGGAACGAAGTGCGGTTCTCTAATAATGAGAAGCCGGTTTTCGATGCGATAATACTGGCAACCGGCTACAAGAGTACGATAAAGGCATGGCTCAAGGTTAATCTCATTCAACCCTACCTCAACAAATAGTTTCTTAACTAATGTTTGTTCTAACTGCACTCATCTTAATTCATTAAAAACTCAGTGCATGAATTTAGATCCTAATCAAGTTTCCAGCAATTGATTAAAGATCATGCATCACTTGCTTGGAATTGTATTTGAGGATTTAAGCTGGAAATTCTTTTATTTTGCAAGGATGAGGATGGATTTTTCATTCAAGATGGCATGCCTAGAGCCAAATATCCAAACCATTGGAGTGGGCCCAATGGTCTCTACTGTGCTGGACTCTCAAAACGGGGTCTGTTTGGAGTGTCTGAAGATGCTATGAACATAGCAACTGACATATATTCCCTCTTCAAAGATGGACTCAAGGATAAAATAGTGCTTTGACATTAAAATTAAGGGCAATATTGGCTTGATTGTTTTTGCGTTATGGGTATGGTTGTCTGTGGTTTTGTTTGGATTATATAGATATATGATTAAGTTCTACCACGAATTTATCTCCAACTTCTCTCTATTGTTTTATTTCTTTCTTTCAGTATTGATGTCCAATGTGTCTACATATTTATTAGAAGTGATAATTTAGATGGGAGATTATTATTCCATTTCTCTAATATTTGAAGAAGCTTTTGATGGAATTTCGATAAAATCTCCTGTTGTAAGGGGAGGTTTTATTTAGAAAGAGAGAGATAGAGGGGAGGCAACCTAACGAGGTACGCCATACTTTGCCCACCCCCTCCCTCATCAAAATAATTTAAAGTAAATAAAATGGGCAAACTACCCACGAATAGTATAGGAGTAGGTTTGAAATGTTATTATTTTAAATTTATATTCAAATATTCTTTTATAAGTTATGATGATTAGAATTAAAGAAATACCAAATTTGATATGAATTTGATTGTTAAAAAAAATTGAAAAAAATTAAAATACAATTT